CCACACACACACAGATGACGCTTGTAACAGGAGATTTGCACAGTCCTTTACTCCACGAAGATTGGTGTATCAACAACAATAACATAGCCATTTACTTACGCCTTCACAGATCTATGTTGAAGGTTCTGTGTGACCCTAATCTATAACCCTTACCTTTATATTATCAAAATATCCAAGAGCCATGAGTAATCCAAATTTTGTATGTGTGCTTAAAACTAAAACAAATGAGCTAAGCATATTTTAATGTTTTGTTTTTAGTTAGGTTACATGGAATTTCTATATATTTTATAAAACACTAGCGATCTAGACAATACCGACCTGTTTAGTTTCCTGATCGTTCTTCGTTACTTCCAAGACCAACAAACTGCAGCCTGGCGAGCAAACACGGGCGCGTGTCGTTCGTTACCTAGCTGGTTCACGCTCTGAATCACGCGCTCTCAAACCAGTAGACGATGTTCACCGATAAAGATACGTGTTTTCTTCTGTGTGTGTGTTTGCGGGATGTCTGATGTACTTTGGTTGCTTGGGAACGGACGCCTTGGATACAACTTTTAAGTTTCACCACACATGATTGTTTTGTCTTTGTATAAATAACACTTGATAAAACCTTGCGTTAGGGCTGTAAAAACTGAAGAACTTGATAATGGCTTTACTAAATAATAATGTATAATAAATTCTTCAAGGTATCAGATAAGTTCTGTTTGACACATATTGTTCTGTGTGATTTAACGGAAAGATCCTCCACAAAAGTACGTGACGGCTCGGAAAAAACAAACCGTATCACTGAAAACGTTTTCTTACGTAGAAAACTGTAACTTTTTCAACCGCTCACCACGCACAATATGTTCGTAGCTACCGTTGAAACAGGCAAGGCCATATTTATAGCCTGCCTGGCCCCCTTGCGACGACATAACGCAACTAATTCGTAAAGCAGCGAAGTGAGAAGTAGTAACATATATACTTGTAATTTTTGTATGGAAAATATTTTATGGTGATATACATATGCATATTGATATGTGTAATTTGACGTTTTCTTAAGTGTTACCTTTGAGTTAAAATAATAATAATGTTAAACGATTCAATATTTACCAGTAATGGCAGGAGACGGCTTGAATGGGTAATGAAGAAAAACTTTAATATAAGTTTAACAT